CCATTTCATCACTACCCAATTCCCCTTTTCTCCAACCCTAGGCAACCACTAATCTACTTTCTGTCCCTATAGATTTGCCTATTCTAAACATTTTTTATAAACGGAATCATGTGCTATGTGGTCTTTTGTGACTGAGTTCTTTCACTTAGCATAATATTTTCAAAGTTAATCCATATTTAGTCTTATGTGTCAAAATGGTGAATAATAATCTATCATATGAATATACTCTACTTTGAATGCATCCACTTTTGGCTATTACGAAAAATGCTACAGTGAATGTTCATGTACAAAGTTTTGTATCAACATTTATTTTCATTTCTCTTGGGTATGTACCAGAAAGTGTAATTGCTAGGTCACATAGTACTTCCCTGTTTAACCTTTGAGGAACTGACAAGCTTTTTTTTTAAGGCTGCTTTGGATCATTTTATAACTTCAGTGGTAGAATATGAGGATTCCTCTGTACCCTCTCCAACACTTGCTTTTATCTGTCTTTTTTATTATAGCCAGCCTAAGGACTGCTATTAATGGTATCTCACTGTAATTTTGATTTGCATTTCTCTGATAGTTGATGATGTTGAACATCTTTACGTGTACTTGTTGGCCATTTGTGTATCTTATTTGGAGAAATTTCTACTCAGATCCACTGCTTACTTTCTATTTGGGTTGTCATTTTGTTATCGAGTTGAAAGATTTCTTTATATATTCTAAATACAAGTCCCAAGGTTCATTTTTTTTGCCATAGATATTTCTGGATGTTCCAGAGCCACTTGTGGAGAGACTTTCCTTTCTCTGTTGAATTACGTTGACACCTTCGTGAAAAGGTGTGGGTCGGCCATGTATGTTTGGGTCTATAGGTCTATATTTGGATATTCTGTTTTTTTTTTTAAAGATTTATTTAGTTATGCACACAATAATTGGGGCACAGGCCAGAGGTGTGAGGGGTAAGAGGATTCACCAGAGACAGCGGGGAACAGAACAGGCAGGCTGACTGAAATACACTGCTGAGGGGAACAGCAGGCGAGTCAGGACAGGTCTGCTGCGCCATGTGGGTAGCTCCCTGGCCTGGGATTGAACTCATGCTTCAGTGGCTGTGGATAGCTTCATAGGTTGCATCTTAACCCTTTGCACCACCAGGGAGGCCTTATGTTTGGACATTCTACTTCTGTTACAGTGATCTATTTATTCATCTTTACACCATTTCAATATGAAGTATTCCCTACTTTCCCCTGTGATTTCCTCTTTAACTCATGACCTATTTCAAGATATATTGGTTAATTTCCAAATATTTGGGCATTTTTTAAAAAATATTTATTTATTCAAGCACTGAGTACAGCCAGAAGTGCTGGAGGGTGAGAGAATTCACCAGAGACAGAGCAGGGAACAGATCAGGCAGACTGATGAAATACACTGCTGAGGGGAGCAGTGGATGCTGCAGGAGAGGTCTGTCGTGGGATCCTTGCTGGTGGTGGGGGATGGAACCGGCGCTTCAGAGGCTGCAGGCAGCTTTGCAACCCAGCGCTCAACCGCTGCGCCACCAGGGGAGGCCCTATTTGGGCATTTTCTAGATAATCTGCTGTTGCTGATTTCTAATTTAATGTCATTATGATTGAGAAAATATGATCTGTATTATTTCAATCCTTTAAAATGTAAAGATTGTTTTACATTCCAGCATATGGTCAGTCTCAATGAATGTTCCACGTGAATTTGAAAAGAAAATGTGCTCTGCAACTGGTGGTGTAATATCCTATAATGTGTTTGGTAAAGATGAGTGATAATGTTTAAATTCTCCATGCTCTTGCTGATTTTGCCTGTACTTGTTTTATTAATTACTGAGAGAGAGGTGTTAAGATAATTGACTATGATTCTGGATTTTATATTTCTTCCTTTGCTTCTGTCAATTTCTGTTTGGTGCCTTCAGAAGTTCTGTTGTTAGATCCATTCATATTTAGGATTGCTGTCTTCTGGTAAATTGATAATATTTTCTCTATAAATGATGTTTTTTGATTTCAGGAAATAATCCTTGAAGTCTTCTTTGTCCAAAATTAATATAGCTATGCCAAACTTTCTTAGGCTTAGTGGTAACATAATGTATTTCTCCCCCCACTACTTTTACTTTCAACCTGTCTGTGTTTTTATATTTAAAATATATATTTTCTAAACATATAGTAAGTTACATGTTCTAGTTCATAGATCCTGGGGGAGACAGGAGACAGTATATGACTCACAGTCACAGTGGAGTAACATCTTAGCCTAGACTCCCCCACCCCACTCCCCACAGGGTCACACTGATGGCAGCTTATAGTAGAAAAATTGGAGATGGAAGGTTTCACTAGAACCAAAACCAGAGCTGGGGGTAGGGATGATTAACCAGTTGATAAACTGGCTATGCAATTTTCCAGGAATCTGAGGTAGGGGCAGAAAGGAATATCAGTTACAGAAAACCAATCCACTTAGATCTCAAAGAGATAAAAGTCATAAAGGAATGAATCTCCCCCCAAACCCCAAAGAAAAAAAACTAGGTAAGAATACCCCTTGCTCTGGCAAAATGCAGGTCTCTGCTCTCCTGTGTCTATGCAGGTATGCAGGCATCTCTTTTTTCCTTTTTCCTAAAAACCATCCCTTTTAAAATGTAGCCTTTGCCTGTTTGTGTCTATGCAAACATCTTTTTCCTTAGTAAACTTGCCATGTGCTACTGCATGGAAAACTGCCAAAATCTTTCTCAAAGGAATGCAAGAACCCCACTCACTGAATCCCAACATCTGAAACCCATCAATATAATGAAGGTCAGATGTTGCCTGCATAAACAGTGAGCCATTTTTAGCACAGGAACCCCAATAATTGAAGGTCCTGATCTTATACTGGGGAAGCTGGAAACACGGACCATGTCTTCTTTGCAGTGGGAAAGACTCAGGTGTCTCTTCATTCCAGAGTAATAAAGATAGAGGTGCTTCCCTTCATTGGTTTATTTATTTTCCATTGGTTATTTTTTTAAAAAAAAAGGTGTTTATATTTTTAATGAAATTTTCTTTCTTCACCTTAATTATAACTATCCTTTCATTTAGGTTTTTGAACAACTTTATCATTTTTTTCCTTTTTGTTATTACCTTTTATATGGTTAATTTTTTATCCTCTGACTACAGTATCTTATTTGTCTGCAGGGGCAATATTGTGATATAATAAGAATTGATATTTAGTTTTTGCAAACTATTTTTAACTAGTAACCAGTTTCTAGCTGAGCTCTTAAAAAGCTTTCTAATGTCCTGATAGGAGCTTTTGTTATCATATTTGGTTTTTGTCCCCAGTTCCTGAAATAGCTCTGCAATCATAAAGGTGAAAAGAGTATCTTTATTATCCATAACAAGCCCTGTTAATCAATGCCTAAATTTGTGCTGATGAGGTAACTTTTGAAAATCCCTTACCAGTCATGTGATTAGAGGATTGGAAGTTTCTGACCTGGGGGATAAAAAGAGGTCAGACATTGAGTTTAATCACTGATGGCCAATGATTTAACCAATCGTCCCTACATAATGGAACTTCCATAAAACTCTAAACAACAGTCTTTAGAGAAATTCTGGGTTGGTTAATACATCCAAATGCTAGGCTGGAATGGGTGGTATAGGAGCTCTGTACCCCTTCCTAGTACCATATCCTATGTGTCTCTTCCATTTGGTTCTTGGATTACATCCTTTATATAAGGTCTAAAATAGTAAGTAAAGTGTATTCCTGAGTTCTGTAAGCCATTCTAGCAACTTATCAAGCCTGAGGAGAGGGTCCTGGGAACTTTAGATTTATAGTTAGTGGGTCAGAAGTACAGGTGACTTACCTGGAACTTGCAACTGACATCTGAAGGTGGGAGCAGTCTTATGAGACAGAGTCCTGAACCTGTGGAGTATTTTGTTCAATCTCCTGATAAAGTTACCAATCAGTGTCTGTTAGCAGACATGCTTACAATAGGTGCTAAACTAGAGCAAATAAATATATTTTTATAGGACTACTGACCTAGCTTCAGGGCCAAAACAGCAGCACCGTGTGATGATATAGAGCATATCTGTGACCCCAGTCAGGTTACCTAACCTCTCTGTACCTCAGCTTCCTTGGCTATGTGGAAAGGATGCTACCTCATAGTGCTGTAGTGAGGATTAAATGTGTTAAGACAGGTAGAAAACTTATTGTCTGGCACAAAGTTAACACCCAATATATATTAGCTGTTATTAGGATAGCTTGTTCAGCTCCAATTTAAGCAGCATCAGATAAAGAGACTGGGTTGTTAGTTCAAGTTTCACTTACTGGAGGAACTAAAACATCACTGGCTATTTTGGAAATGTGGAATCCCTTAACTCAGATTTCCCCATATGGAGTATTACAGAGATACAGAAATAGAAATCGGATACACGGATTGAAAAATAAGAGTTTCTTGCCAACGCCCACCTATGTCTGAGGACAGGTTTGCTGAACTACAATCCAGTTTCCAGACAAGCATTTGCTCCATGCCACCAACCCTCACGGTAAGACAACAGCGACAGACAGCTGAGATTCTCAACTCGATGCACGAAATAATTAGTAAATAGTAAGTTTGTTGGGACTCAGAATTATTACTGTGTCTAAGCTTGCACAGATCTGGGTCTGGCCTCAGTTTCCGGGTTCTGCGCTGGTGAAGGAAAGCGGAGGGCTCCGGAGCCAGAGCTGCTCGGCTCTGAGAGCGCAGGTCGGGCGGCGCCGCGCGGGGCGTGCAGGAGGCTGCGGCCCTGCCCGCCGGCTCAGCCTGCGCCGCCGCCGTCGGACCAGTCGGACGGCTTCGCCCCCAGCCCGCCCCTCCCCTCCCCTCGCCGCTCGGGCCGTGGCCGCCGCCCTCGCTCCCGGAAACCCAGTGCCTCCTGAGAGCGCCGGAGCCAGGCGGGCCCAGCCTCCCTCGCAGCCGCCTCCCCGAAGCCCTCGCCGGACCCGGCCCGGGCCTGGGCACCGGGCCATGGGGTGGCCCGGCCTGAGGGAGGCCAGAGCAGAGCTCGGCAGGAAATGCCTGGCATGAGGGCACGGCCGGGCTGGGGGCGCCCGTGCCTGCGCCCTTGACAGTGACTCTGAGCCATGCACTGGACCCACGGAGCCGGTAAGCACCTGTGCAGTGGTCTTGGGCTGGGTTCCTTGCACCTGTGCAGTGGTCTTGGGCTGGGTTCCTTGAGGTCTAGGGGTCCTGGCCAGGAAGAGCAGGAAGAGGCTGCAGGAGAGTGGAGGGCGAGTTGGGTCCCTCAGAATCCAGCCTAATTGGGTGGTGGAGACTGGTACGGCAAAGTGAAGTTGGGCTGTGCCTCCTGGGTAGGGTCAGCCTGAGCCTGAGGTGCTGTGGCCCCGCAGGCTCTCCTGGTAGACTGGGTAGATTTGGGCTGCAAGCACCACTGGAGAGCAGTGGAGTTCTTCACGTCATCCAGGGTCAGAATGGAGCCACGCTGAAGCCTTTACATCTAATCTCCCACTGCCTGTGCCTCAGTGGCCTCTGACTGCCCATGACAGGCGGAGCTCCTCCCTGTCAATCCCTGCTCCCCGCCAACCCCTGCTGGATGGGAGCCAGACTGACTTGGCATCCCCCAGGAGTGCACTGGGGTGGGGAAGAACTGTCCCTCTCCTTGGCCCTTTCTGGGTGTATCTGGTCAGAAAGCATGGGAGAGGTTCCTGGGAAGGTAAGCAGTGTCTGCTCAGCTCACAGACTCAAATCCCCTCTAAGGCTCCTGCTTGGTTAGAGCCAGCTTGTCCTTTCAGTGGGAATATGGAATGGGGGATATGACTTCTTTGCTGGTTTTTCCCAGCCTGCAAGTTGGATTTTGCTGCCCTGAGTGAGTGGCCAGTGCATTCACCCAGACCCCAGTCCATGGCCTGCATGTCTAGGTCAGGAGGCCAGCATCAGAGTGGAGACCAGGCCTTCTTGGGCTCTTGAACCCCATTAGCCAGGCCCTTCCTCAGGCCTGGAGCTGATTGAATGTAATTAGCAACTAATTGCATGTCTGTGACCCCCTCTACATAAGAAACACACCAAGGTCAAGTTTAAACAGCAAATAGTGATTCATTCTTTTCTTCCAGACATGATATTTCCTCTGTGGAGGGTTTGAAGAGAGTCGTTCATTCATTCATTTATTCACCAAATGTTTACTGAGTGCTAAATACCAATCAGGCATGTAGGCATAGGGAATACAGCTGGTGTCATTTACATGTGCGTTGGAGAGAGGGAATAAGCAAGTAAGTAGATAAATCACATTATTTCAGAGACTGATAGTGCTATAAAACAAACAACCAAAACAGGGTGATATTGGTATGACAGTGAAATTAGAGAAATTGGCTCTTAGCTAGAAATTTGAGCAAACAGACTTTCTAAATGGGGTGGGGGAGATGGCACCATTTTCAGGCTCTAAAACACCGGGGGCATGGGATAGGCTGTCCTCAGTGACCAGGAGCAGGGGCTTAGGATCAGTGAGCAGTGGTGAGTGGTGAACCAGCCTCTCTCCAATGTCCTGAGTATATTTCTCCTTGGAAGGCCTGAACCTGAGGCAGAGATTTAAGCACCCCCAGAAAGCAATTATTGTTGATATGTTTGCTCATTTATTCATTCATTCATTCATTCATTCAACAAATACTTACGGAAGGCCCATATGTTCCAGGACATATTCTGGGTGTTAAGGATATGTTAGTGATTACAGGACTTATTTTCTGGTAGGGAGAAATGGATGATAAACAACAGTAATAGCATGTCATGGCCATTAAATACCTTGAAGAAAAGTAAAGCAGGTTAAAGGTTTGGAAAGTGCTGGATTCAGTGGAGTGGTCAGGCATGTCAGCAAGATGGAATTTGAGTGGAGATCTGAATGTAGATGAGAAAGTCATATGATGATCAGGGGGATGAACATTCCAGGCAGAGGCAAGCAAGAGCAAAGACCCTGAGGTATGAAGGAGTCATGAGCATGCCTAGTGTGCAGGGCATGGAGCAGCAGGAAGGACATCATTGTGGCTCTGGGAGGTGAATAGGTTATCTCAGACTCTTGTTAGAAGAGGCAAGGGTGGAATACAGTTGAAGACCAGAAGCTTTCAAGGAAGCAGACAGTGCTCCCAGCTGCTGTGGAGGAAGATTTGCTAGCTCCCAAGCGAACTCAGGATTGGACTGGGTGGTTCATACCCAGTAGGGGAATGGGTGATCACCAATGATAGAGCATGTCTTGGCTGGAGAGACATTACTTTCACCCAGCATCCACCAAAACATCATGGACCCATACAAAGAGAGCTAAAGTGGGAGGCTGACCGTGAGTTTTTCTAATCAGTAAAGACTCTGGAAGCTGGAGATGGGGAGAAAAAATGTTGCCTGCTGGAAAAATTCCTATAATGTTTCATTCTTAAGTAATTTAGGTGGTCTTATTAGTTTAAAGGAAAATCAGGAGTGTATACACTAATTGACATGCAGTGAAAACATAGCTGCTGGGCCCTCCTTTGAGCTCTGTACTTGCACACACAATCCTCACATCAAGTCTCTTTCATTTCACAGATGAGAATAAGAGAATAAGAGAAAGAAATAAGAGAAAGAATAAGAATAAGCAAGTTGCCCACTTTTATACAGCTGGTAAGTAAAGAATCAGGATTTACAATCAAGTGATGTAGTTTTCACTGAAGGCGTGTTTGTCCTAAGTGGAGGGGGCACCTCAGTGCCTAAGAGCAGAGTGGTTAGGAGACACCAGGGGCTCTGTGCACATTGCATTTCTTATTAAAGTATTTGCATAGGTTAAAAGTCCTTTGAAAGATATATATGTATATATTTTGTAGAACTGGGGAGGAGGCCAGAGGATTCATCAGAGACAGTGTGGAGCAGAACAGGGGGATTTACTGAAATACAATGCTGAGGGGAGCAGTGGGTGAGATAGGAGAGGTCTCCTGTGCTTTATGTGGGTGAGTTCCCTGGCTGGGGATAGAACTTAGGCTGCAGGGGTAATAGCAGTGACAGCGCTGAGACATAACCCCTAGGTCACCAGGGAGACCCTAAAACATTTTTTAAAGGGGATACTTGCATGCATTCAAAATATTTTCACAAATATTAGTTCAAACAGCCTTGAGGTTCACAATGAAGAATCTCCCTTTGTTTCCTGCCCTCTGATCCCCAATTCTTTTCTTCAGAAGCAGTTCCTTAACAACACTTCCAGAGAAAGAAATTCTATTTGTAAACAAGCATATCTGCACACATACCTTCCCTTTCTTTCTTTTTCTAAAATACAAGCAGTAATAATACTCATGTTTGGTTTTGTATAATTTTACTTAATATACTTGTTTTTCTGATTCAGGGCATATGGATGTACTTTTATCCTTTTGAGATAAATGTGTAACACCTCATGAGTGTGGCACCATATTTATCTAGCCTGTCTGGGCTTGCAGATTGTTTTCCTCATTTCAATTTTTTTGATACAACAGACAATAATGCATGAAGCATACTTTACCTGCTTATTTTGCTCACTTATGTGACTATTTCGGCAGGAGAGATTTAGAAAGATGGAATTACTGAGTTAAAAGCCATGTGGATTTTCGATTTTGATGCTTTCCAAAGACACAGCATGACTTGGGACTTCTGACTTAGTACTTTTGTGATTGCTTAGTACCCCTCTGCTTCATCAACATGGTGTATTACCAACTTCTTGTCCTTGCCATTTTGACAGATTAAAAAAAAAAGGCATCATGTTGTAGTTTCTTTATAGTGAGTGGTATTGTGAGTCTCACCTATGCCGTAAGCTATTGGTCTTTCTGGGGACTCTTCAAGTCCTTGGCTCTGATTCGAATTGTATTTTCATCTTTTTGTTTGTTTTGTATTGACTTCCCTCCGCCCCTCATCTCTAGTCCACCAGCCACCCCTCTGTGCCTCCCCCTGCCCTCATGAGCAGCAGCCACTCTGGGATATGTCTTTTTCTCCCGGGATCTGGATGTACTTTAGAGAAATATATGATGTTGCTTTATATTGTCATACATTTTTAACTTACATAAATTATTTTATGCTAGAAATCATCATCTTAATTTTTAAACCCAATGTGCATTTTCAAAAAACTTTAGCTGACCACTCTCCAAACATTTGATTACTACACTGTGTTTCATAGTTGAAATTGTGGGATTATCCAAACAGTGGATTCTTATTGGACCGGTCTAGAAAGATCTGGAGACGTGGATTTAGGAGGTGAGCCTTTGAGAATGAAAAGAATTAGATGGAAAGGGGAATGGATAAGGGAACAGAACTGACCAAGAGCACAGCATGAGGGCACGCCAGCCTATGACAGTACAGAACATTCAGGGGAGCCCCATAGCCTGCTGGGATGCAGTTTGAGTATAAAGGTGAGGTCCTAGGAGAGGCTGGGATTCCCTGAAGGCAAGGGTTGAGAGGCACTGGAGTCGGACTGGGTCAGTAAATATTTCCAGGGCGAGAGTGGTCTCTGGGAAAAGGAATAGTGTAGACTGGATGTGAGCCTCAGCCACAGGAGATCCCTGTGGCAGGTGCAGACCCAGGCTGGTGTGAGGGTGGAACAGCAAGGCCTTCAGGTACCCAAGTTATGAGGGGTGGAGACTGGTGTCAGGCCTGCTAACTTGGGAAGTTGAGTGGCTGTGATGTCATAGACAGGGCCTCCTGGGGAGGACACTCATGGGCACATGGGCACGCTACCAACTCTGAAGTCCTGTTTACCCCTGGCTAGAGGACTTCTGGCGGTCAGGACTCTGGGCAGGAGAAGGATCTGGGAACCTTTAGCAGAAAGGTGGGAAATGAAGATGTGGGAGATGTGGGCGAGGTCACCACAGGAGTGGGAGCAGGTCAGAGAGATCCTGCTGGAACAGAGCCTACCTAGGCCAGGCACACAGGGCGAAGTGGATGGACAGGCCGAGCCAGCCAAGGAGACATGGGTGCACTTTTGAACTCTGATCTGTGCTGGTACTGCCCTTTGCTGACTGGCTGACCTCAGGAAAGCATCCTTTTGGCATGGGAACTTGGGCGGCTATTATAAGCAAGGACGTCCAAGGAGGGGGTTCCCTGCTCTCCTGGAGTCTCTCAGTGTTGTGTTGCACTGAGGAAAGGACCTCGGGAAGTTAAGGTGTGCAGTCTCTCTGCCTGGGAGATGAGCTCAGAGGCCTTCATACTGTTTCTGCTGAGAGTTGCCAAGCCATATTGCCTCTGTCCCTGAGGGTGACTGTTGATAGAGCCTGGTTTGGCTTTTGCTGGCACAGGGAGAACATCTGAGGCCCAGGGCTTTGCTGGCGTGGGCAGGGTGAAGTGTGGGCACCCCTGGGGAATACTGACCCCTTGGTGGTTGCAGGAAATGCTCTGCTTGGAGCTTTTCTTCTTTCTTTGTCTCCTCAAAATATACCTGTTTTCTGTTTTATGTAACACCAGACCCTGGTTTTCCTGCTCCTGTAAACCTTTAATTAGTGTTACAATGAAGACTCTCAGTTCTGTTTCCAAAGAAATAAATGCTTGAAAGGTCAGATTCAGCTGTACAGAGTACCCATTTACATATCTTTGTCATGACTTTTGACATGAGTTTTCCATCTATATTATTTGATTTAATATTTTTCCTTGAGCACACACATTTGAGAATACAATGTAAAATATGCAATGCAATGTAAAGCATTATCTGCTTTAGCATGTGGTCCTAGCAATAACACCTCTGAAATCACATGTTTGCTGCACCAGTTTTTTAAATGCATATTTAAACAAACATTTATTAACACTGTTCATTGAGTGAACCACATACTTAGGCAAACACAGCCTTAGATTCATGGATTTTGGAGGTAATCTTGCATGCGTAGGAGAGGGAAACATCTTTTCCTCTACCTTCTTAGATTTAGTGACTGGGAACTGTAAATCAAAGAAAAGGCAGAAGAACAGTAGAAAAGGTTAATTGATATGTACACAGGAGACAACAAAAGTAGTAGCTGACATGGTAAATGGTTAGAGGCTTATATACCTAACAGGAGGAAGAGCAAATGGGTTTCTTTTTAATGGGTTTTTAGCAAAACAAATGAGAGAAGAGAAAGTTTGTGGTAATGTTTATGTATGGAGGTATGATGGGTCTTTTGACACCCTTAGAGAAGGGATTTGGGGTAGGTTTTATTGAGTTCTTCCTTCTAGGAGCTCATCTGCCCTGTAGAAAGGACTTATGACCAACTTCTGACCACACGAGAGATAGTGACAGGGAAAAGTTAAAGACATATGAGCCTGTTAGCCCCTTTGGGCCTTCCCCTTTCCGTGCTGGTTCTCAACCCCTGCTGGCAGTAGGGCACAGAGGTTGGCAAAAGATGGCCCAGTCTTTACAGTGAGTAGAGAAATTCAATTACTATTTAGTGAAACAAATTTTCTCATATCCTTATTACTTCTTCTGATGATGAACAAGCACATTTATTTTTAATAATTAGGTATATACCAAAAAGGCACTAGGAAATTAAAACCACACATATGGACAACATATACACATAGGCACTATTAACCTGTGCTTTAGTATTTTATTCTCTAAATACACAATTTTTTAAAAAGTTGAGATCATACTGAATATAAAATCATTTTTCTTAATGTACTATGAGCATCTTCTTACTTCACTAAGTGCTTTTCAAAAACAAGACAAGGGTTGGTGAGGTTGTCTGTGAATATCGGGCTGTATTATAACCTGTTTATCCAGTCCCTGTTGTGGGTATTGAGTTGTGAACATTTGCCATTATAAATAACTGCATGCTCATGTGTCTTAGCACACATTTTGCGAGTGGCTTCTCGGTGCCAAGCAGACTCAGAGATGGAGGTGAATAACTGTGGAGCCTCCGCACCGCTTCCCTGGGAAGGGCAGACTCATACTCAGCAGCTGCAGGGAAAGTGCTAATAGGAGTTAAGGGGCAGAGAAGGGGAGTCCAGGAAGAGGGACACTGGGGCCAGACGTTGGTGCTGAGATAGAAGAGCTCCCGGGACTGTGGCCTGGGCGGTCCCTCCCCTGGGCATGTGTCCACACCTGTGAAGGGACAGCCTCTTAAGTTCACTGTGCCAACCATGGAATTGGGCAACAGATAGAAGCATGACATTCACTTTACTAATCACTTCCTTCCCTTCTCCGGGGAGCCAGGGGTGGCACTGGAACACGCACATGTGTTCCAGGGCTGTTGGTGATATTCCTGCTGGACTGTGTGCCCTCTCCCCATTGCCTTGCTTCTCAGAAGCTTCTCCCTCCCATTATAGGACCATTGGGGGAGGGGTGCCTCTAGCTCCTACAGTGGACTCAGTCATTGGAAACCCTAACTCCTGGCTCTGCTCCTGTCCCCAGGAAGTTTGGCGGAACTAAGGCCAGCAGTCAGGTTGGTCAGCAGGAACCTACCTGTCAGAGGAATTTAGAGAGGCAGTATCGTCCTGTCTGTCCTCCCAGAGGACCCAGATTGTGTAGGTCAAGAGCTGGAGGAAGGACACATGACTGCCTTACTCCCAGTCTTCCTTAAAGGACAGAACTTTTACAGAGACAAATTCAGGGGCATGAGAGCCTGCTGAGGTGCCCCTGACCTTCGCCTTCATCCCACCCAGTAACTGGTGTCCCTGGAAGTGAGCTCCATCTGCTCAGGATTTTT